TCAGTCAGGCAAAGCTATACTTCAGGGCGACCTCAGAGTGGCTGGGGTGCAGGTGGCATCAAGCGTGATGAGAAGATTGGCACCAGCCTTGGGCAGCTGCCTTTGACATAACACACGTGCTTCCGCGTTAAGTCCCACTACTCGCTACCTTTGCGTGCCAGGTTTTGGTTTGAAGCTACATGGTGAGCTTTGGAAGGAGGGGGAAGCTGAGTGTTGTAAACAAAATCCCAAAATGCCACAGGCAAATTGATTCATGGTAGCATGTCTCAGTCGGTGGTTAAGAAAAAGAAAAGGTGAAGCAAGGCTTGTGTGTATCCAAGCAACTGTAAAGCCTTCACTGTTGCCACGGGAGGTTTTATCAGTGACGCAGTGGTTGAAATTGTCCTTTTCTTATAACTGAAGGTTGTGGTAGGAGGAAGAAGGGGTTTTCTAGACAGAGAGCCTGTTCCTGCAGAGAATCTGCAAGAAACAGTCTGGAGCAGTCACACCCACCCACAGAGACAGGCACAAAGCTCTGATCAAAGTGAGAATGACAGAACTCGGTTACTTCCAAAATACAAATATGAGGTCCCCTTGAGGCTCTGCTTTTGGAATGATTTATCCTACTACAATCAGTCTACAGGTAAAACAAATGCAATATTTGACCTGAAAAGAGAATTCACCTGCTATCTCCCGATTAATCTAACACAGCAGCAATATTTGCTGTGTCTTACCAAGCAGACTTACAAAAGCAAATCCTCAAACACGCGTACTTAATTAATGATTTTCTTCTTTCGTGTACAAAACAAAAAAAGGATGCCTTGTGGGTATCATCTGATGCCGAATACTGCATTAATATATTGATGAATATATGTGCGAATACGGCACTTACATGTGGCGTGTGGCGCCTGACAGGCAGGGTTCTCATTGAGCGTTACAGATGTATGGCTCGGTCTCGGTTTGAGGAAAGTAGGCTTAAGAGACTATTTACCTGCATTTGTGGTTTGAAAGACAGCCAAGGAAAAAGAACGGTTTCCTTGCATAGTATTTGATCAGGGAATAGATCTACAAATAAAAATCTGGAGTTACGCTGGTTTGTCACTCCAAGAGTAAAATGTTTCGGTACGTTCCAAAGAGCAGATGCCCAGCAAACATCTTTGTACAGGAAAAGGAAATATTTCCTTAAACATCCTGCAGCAAACGTGACTGACTGAGCTTCCTTTTCCCCCTGCCTGGTGCATTTCCCTTCTTTGCACAGACAGGATCTAACCAGATTTGCAGGGTATGAACTGCAGGTTACTTTCAAATTCATAACTATGAAATGGTTCGTTTAGCAGGACAAAGGCCAAGCCGGCAGACACCCTTTTTCCAGCTCAGCATGTGCATAGCAATGGGAGGGTGGCAAGGAGCTTTTGTTAATCTCAACCCAGCTGGCAAGAATGCTGCAAAATGAAGTCTTTGAAGATGTGTTTTCTTCATTTTTAAAGCAACAGGTTGTTAGAAAAGCTTGAAAATCTTGCAAAAAAAAAAAAAAAAAATCTGCAAAATATTGAAAGACCTCCCTGGCAGTCCTATAACTTAGGCAAATTTCCCCCGTAGCAATTAGCCTCTACAGTTTCCTTTAACGGCCATTTTTTTCACAGGTTCCATTCCAATGCAACTGTGAAAGTGCTTTTCCCCCAGCTTGAATGCAGTTCTTTAAAAAACCGGGTGGCAGAAAGGATTAGGGTATCAGGTCAGGTTGGGGCTGATCCAAGCTGCAGTGGGATTTTTCTTCCTTTTAGTTTAAATGTGTAGGAATTGAAAGCTTAAAGAGCTTCATGCTTAGAGCTGTTCTCAAAATAGTTGGGACTCACAGTCCGCTTCCTAATGTGCTCACATCACAAGACCAACCGCTGCTCCTTGCTCTTTTGGCTGAGGCTCCGGCGGAGAGCTGAGGTGCTGACCGCTCTGCAAGGGGAGTCCTGGCTTCCCCAGAGGCGGCCCAGGTAAAGGTTGCCCTTTGGGCACCCATGTCCCACCCCACCTTCTTGAGCCCAAACAGTCCCATGCCTTTCACAAAAAACAGTAACCCTGTTCAGGGATGGGTTTAGATATTTTTATTTTTATGTGAAATCATAAATACAAAATAAAAATAGTAAACAAGTGCTATAGATTTCTCTTTTCATGGGGATGAGGTTCAGGCCTGGTCCTGAGCGCTTCCAAGTCTTAAAGTTCAGGACTAGGTCTTTGCTCTTGGAAAACAAAACATAGCAAAAAACAACTTAGACTTTTACCCTGAAGCCAGTGACATCAGTAACGGCATTCTCTCTGGTTGTTTTTTAAAGCACAGCCACAAGTAAGTATACTGAAGGATGAGATTAAATATAACTATTTTTGAAAACGGGCCCCCCTTCCTGCTAGTATTGCTGGGCGCTGCCTCGCTGACCTCAGCAAAGCTTTGTTACATCAGCAGCGAGTTATGTTGTTGGTAGGATGACGCTGTGTTTACGGGTATGCACGCACTTAGCACTGGCTTCTTTCAAGAGGTCTTGATGTGCAATTGTTTCAGATTTTGGTTAGAAGTGGATCCAGCCCTGCCGTGACACAAAGCTATCTGTCAAGAAGTTCGGCTGGTTAAAAAAATTTCCCTTCTAAGGTGTGGGTTTCCCTCCCGCCCCCCAAGACTCCAGTTTTGATTTGATTTTAAAGGCTAGCGATGAACTGCCCAGAAAGATTTCATCTTTCGGTCAGAGCCCAAGGCCTGCAGCACTGCTGAAGGCTCTAGGATACCTGCAGGCACATCTGGCAGCGGGGGCTGGGTTGTAGTTCTTTAATTTGAGACAAAAGAGAGTGAGGTCCAGGATTTGGGCTAATAGCTGTTGACTTGTTTGCTAGACACAAGAGGGCTGAGTAAGGGTGTAGCATGTCTGTGGGCTGGGTGACACATACAGTTGGAAATTATCATTTAAAATAAAGTAACTGTGAAACAAATAAAGGCACCAAACCACATAACAAGCCAACTTTGGTAGATTTCTTGCAAAATAGATGCATTTAAATACATTTACAGGGTTACACTGTTAAAAAAAAAAAGTTGCAATGATGAAATACAGACTATTTCATTCTTGTACCAAAACTACATATCACATCGGAACAACATTATAGCTTTAACTTAAATGGAGACAGTATAAGAGCTGCACCTCTTTATAGAGCAGAGCTAGTTCTAGACACACTGCTCTGCTTTTGTATTGTCTGATGGGCTCAGACCCTGCAACGCAGGTGTTTAGAAAAGGAAAGCGGTTATCTTTAAAAGGGTAAATCATGTGCTCAATATTCAACACCAATATTTGCAGGGGCAGGGCTTTAGTCTCCCACTCAGGTCTGTGTGCACATCGATACCGCTGGGGCTTTAAATTTGCTAAGCAAAGCAAGAACACAGTTGATGTAAATCTGTCACAAACCTGTGGTTATGATTAGTCCATAAGTCTCGGCGTTACCAGAAACTTTGAAGAGTTAATGCTCAGGTTAGGTGTGCCCGCTATTGCTCGGTGGTTGTGAGGGACCCACGAGGTCGTAGCGTTGGCCTCCGAGGAACAGAGCCACCACGCTTCCTCACTAACTCTCGGCAGAAGCCTCCTCATGGCGACACAGGCACCGCCGCCGTCTGTAGCACAATTCTGCGTTGATTTAGAAGTACAAGTCATTCGCGTGGAAGAGTATCGCACCACCCCTTAAGCCCTCCTTTAAAAAAAGTCTGTCTCTGCAGCGGAACGGAAAGGTGGTGGTGAGCTCAGCTAATGAGAGTTGTGTCGCCCAGAGCATCTTCCTTCAGTCCGCACAGCGTTACCGGGACAATAAGGAGGAGCTGGGAGCGCCGTGACTTCACGTCTCCTGATCAGCCCACATGAAGTCTCAGTCCAGATATTTGGTAAAATTCTTCTAGCAGTTTTTTTGCCCGATTTGGTAAACGAAGGAAAGCACAAGTTAACAAAGTTATGGCGGGGAGCCAACCAAGTGCACGTCCAGCTGAACACACAATTCAAAACTGGCAGCAAGCGGGGCTCGGCAAGGCGGGCACGAGAGCCGTCCACACCCCGGCCACCGGCATCCGGGGCAGTTTTTAAGGTTTCCAGTCTCCTGTAGTGCAGAGGGATGCCCCTGGAGCCAGGGCAGACGAAGATCTCCCGGGTCTCTGAATCTAGCGCTCCAGTAATTCTGGCAAGGAGTTCATATTCAAGTAAAAACAGAACAGAAGCTGATGGAGAAGCGATGAAGAACCTCAAGGGGCAGCCTAGTATAACCTGGTTTGTTCTCCACTAAAGGAGAGCAACTACCCGAAATGCCTTTCAAAGGCCTCAAAGACACACAGACCCATGCACTGCTCTGGGGGACCGAAACAACTGAAGAACATCCAACAGCCTTCTCCAAGCAGTTACCGCCTGCGGGATTAAGGACCGAGGCTGGTGTCGTGCTTTAGGTGGCAGCCCTAGTTCAGCTGCCCCGCCAGAAGAGCAGGGAAGCCCCGGCGGGAGGGGCCGGCCGCGGGGATTCAGGAGCGGACGGAGGGGGGAAGCCGGCGCCCGGCGA